GGAACCGGCTGTCTTGCCTAGTTTCTTAGGATCTAGACATTAGTGCTGAAATCTTTCACTGATGCTGGGACTTTCCACTTCAATTGTTTTTGTACAGATATTATACTAAATACATGCATTTCATCTTTCCATGGGCTGACTTAGGTGTCTACTATGTCACCTTCTTAAAGTGTTTTAGCAGTTGTATGTGTATGTATCTTCATTATATGTGTTAACATGAGTTATGATAATTGAAACTATCATAAACCTGGGGGCCTTTCTGGTAGTAAGTAGTGGGGGTGTCCAGCCAAGTGTTTGCTAGAAATCATATATATATATATATATATATATATATATATATATATATATATATATATCTATCTTACTTATATATATATATATTGACAATATTTTGTAGTGCCCAAACTTGAGGTCTTGCCCTACTCCAGAGGATAAGTTGATCGTATATTGGCCCACGGGGAATTCCCTTAGACCAATACGGAGCCAAACGACTCAACAAAATTATCTCTGAGTGCTGCTGGTTCTGAAGGAGAAATCCTTACATTAGGCACGCGACAGGAGTGATATGTGACAGAACACTGGATGGCAGGCCAACAAGGTGGATCCCAGATATATCCTTCAACTTCCAAAGAATTTATTATACTACAAAACATTTTTGGGCTATCCTCCGAATAACGGGCAGGAAAGATGGCGGCCGCAAAATATCCTTTTGAGCCACATTCACGTGTCATGTGTTGTAAACATTCAAAAATTAAAGTCAAAACTAATAAGGAACGAAAAAAATGTTATATCAAATCGACTACTTAACGATAATTGTATGTCTTTATATCTGGAAATTATGGCACAGAAGTTGTAAATAGTGCCCGAAAATCTGCTGTTTGTGGCTGTTACGCCATTGAAACTCGGCTAAGTACGATCGGAACTAGGCGCAGCTCGTACCAGATTGGTAACACAGCTTTCTTTTTAGTAGCATTCACAAACCGGCTATCCTCTGAATAACGAGCACAAAAGAAGCTGGCCAAAAAAAGGGCCTCAGTCAAGTGTCAATTGCGCACTTCCGGCGACTTAATTTGCGCTTTTCCGGCGACTACGCGCGGCGCGGATGGGGCTAAATTAGATGGCTAGGACTCACGAGCAAAGCTGCAGGAGATTCTCGGCGGCGAGTTTAACTCGGCGGTTTGTTCCGTTTCTCTAAATTGTCAACAGACACAAATCCTAGTTTTCCCGCGATGTGCTCGTGACCGCTAGTTCGCCATCAACACGTGACTGTGGCTCGAAAGGATATTTTGCGGCCGCCATCTTTCCTGCCCGTTATTCGGAGGATAGCCCATGTTTGTTATCTTTCTATAGTTGGGTTTGTCCCATCTGTATGCTATTGCTTTCAGATGATGTCCCTTTAAGAACTAGATATTCCATTTTCTGTTTACCCAACTTCGTCTGCCTTACAGTCTTTTAAAAAGGGCTGAAATTACATTCTGTACTTATATATGTGTAGCAATACACAATTTCGTCCTTTTTAGGACGAAATTTTTTGTCATTTGGAGCCCTACTCTGGCTTTTGCCAGGGGCCGCAATATAGGCAGGCCATATTATGGCCAAATGTCTGAACGCGGTTTCTGGGACCTCTCCACGGCGATCCTCATCCGCATGGTGGCACTTTGTGTCATCGGGTGTTTATCGCTTGTGTGATGTCCTAGTGGGGTAGAAATTCATTCATTCATTCATTCTGTACTTCATCTTATAATTCCCACTCTATGAATGCAACGTCAATTCAACCACAGCACAAACGTTTACAAGTTAAGACTTACACTAGATGTTTTTACATACGTCTGGTCATTCTTTGACAAACCAAAATCAGCAATTTTGGCCACAAGCTTATCACCGAGCAAAACATTCCTGGCAGCAACATCACGATGGATAATCTGTAAGATTGGCAGCAAAGTACAATCAGGCAGCAAAGTACAATCACTACTGAAGATGTAATAAATGTTCAACATAGTTTTCAACATTTAATTATAATTGCATCACGTGTTTCATGATATGGTTCCGTCTCGAGTGCTAGAGGTTCCAGGTTCACTTCCCTGTACGAGCTAGGATTTTTTCACGTGGACTTGGACTTCTAGTAATCCACTCTGGTCTGAAGAGCCTGTGCCTTGTGCTGAGCTTCTTCGGACTCAGACTTGAGTTAGAAGAAGAACGGAGCACTTATGGGTTACTACCCGTATGCCATGATGTTGATCAGTTGTTCAAACCCCAAACCTAGCGATATGGTTTGCCCTGTTTTGGCAGAACGGCTGCCTGCCGTGCGAGTTTATCGCTCAGTAAACGAACAAAAGCTTAAGTTACGACCAGCGGAGATCTTTGCTATTACTGCACTCATGAACCTGAGTACAACATTTTGGAAATTACAGGATGGACAAGTCGTGTCTTTTGGAGAATAGCTGCCTTAAATGTAATCTTATATCGTAAAAAGTTTGGTAACATTGGCATGACATTGTCATACTCTATAAATATTCTACCAAAGATGTCTTAACATATTGCCTGTAATTACCCAATGTTACGGTGTAGACAAGGAGGTGAAAAGAGGGGAAGGGGTTGAGCCTAGGGATTTATGGCCGTATGGCTAGTGCGCTTGCCATTGAGTGTGCAGGTTATAATTTTATTTTTGCCCCGACATTAAAAAAAAATTTCCCCAGCTTTACCGAAGATTCGAAGCGGGTCTCCCGAGTGACAACCCAGCGTTCTTAACCGTTCACACACACCTGCTCTTCAACTCTTGTCAAAATCGGTCCAAACACAGACATCTACACCAGCTCAATACTGCTCGGCAAAAAAACGGTTCCAGATGCATACCTTATGTGGGCACTGCAAGGCCCATATAGTGGCCACTGTCACAAAAAAGCTTAGCAATATGAGCTTTATATACTACCCCCGTGTCAAGTCTTCATTCAAACTAACATTCAGTCGTTGCCAAATACAACATAGTGTAATTAAGCCTTGAAAAAAAAAAAAATAATCTGCCCACGATTCCAGACATTGCCCAGACGTCTTAACACATCTTAACCTTGTCTGGCGTCTCTTGCTTCAGGATGTGCTCCTACAATGGTGTCATGTGTTTTTCGTATACAATTAAACGGTTGATTCCGCTGCAGTTCAACAGGACGCATCCCTGATATCATAGATAATCCATGTGCATAAGGTGGAGATGGCATCTCCGTCCGCCAAATTTCGATAACATTCAGCAAAAACATTCTGAAGGGACTGCTTATCTGGTATTTAAACATCATTTTTCCTGTTAACGATTGTTTGTAGAGAATACAAAAGGGTTTAAAGTTGGACGAGCGGGCGGGAACTTTTGTTATCCTTCGACTTGCATGCCTTTCAGTGGATGTTTCCGTGAAAATTTTGCTCATTCAGCATCAAGGAGTGGCTGGTCAAACAGTAATAAAGCTGTTTGTGTGTGTGTGTGAGTGTGTGTGTGTGTGTGTGTACCTGAGTTTGATCCTCAGTAAGGGATGACCATTTTACGTCTGTCAGGTGCACAAAATAACAAAACAAGCGAGAGAAGGTTGTGGCGACTAGACTAGACTAGACATACTACCTTAAATCGTTAGGCTCACGACACCAACAAGCCCCCCCCCCCCCCCCCCCCCCCCCCCCCCCCCCAACTTTTTTTTTTTTTCAACCTTGTCTTCATCATCATCACGTGCCTTGCCAATAGGCGTAGGCGCTCATGCATCTCCACAGATCACAATCCCTGGTTGCCTGAAAAAAGCTATCTTGATGTTATCCCTCCATTATCCTTTCAGCCCATCCAGCATCATCTCTCTTGTTCTGCCTCTACTCCTCTTTCCACTGAACTTTCCAGTTGTCACGATGTCTTCCAATGCCTCTCTTCTCATTACATGGCCAAAGAACAGTGTCTGTCTAATTCTTATTGTTGCATATAGAAATCTACTGTCATTAGCTTCTTTCAAGCAATCGTTGTTAGTTACGCTGGACGTCCAAGGTTATCGTAACATTCGTCTCAGAAACCACATCTCTGTTGCTTCCAAATTCTTCTTTATTACCGCCTTCTTACACTGTTATAGCAACAGTGGTCCAGAAATCCCATACTCTAACTGTGGAATACTTTTCTTAATTCCAACGGATTTTGCAAATTACATTGCCCATCGAAGCTATAGGCTGCGATACCTCTGCCTCCATGTATCACAATCTTTGGTATCGACGAAAATGTTCTTATGAGTCGGCACAGTCCGACAAATTATTAAATTATGTTGGTCACGTTAAAAGCGCCATCCATTAAGCAAAGCGGGCCTGGTGTGGGTTCCGGGGCCCCATTTTGGGGGGGGGGGGGAATAGACTCACTGCATCCCCAACAAGCATGTTGTAGGAGTCAAGAACTGACCCTCCCATATTCTAGTAAGGTTAATTTCTTTAATTTCACCCATCTCGGGAGCTCAGAGATTTTATAGGGATTTCCCAGGAAAGTCCATTTTTATGAGGGAGGGGTGTTGAGGTTAGGGTTAGTGTTAGTCATTATTTATTTCCCACCTTAACACGTCTACACTATTGGAATTTCATGGGAACTCCCTACTAAATCTCTAAGATGGAGTAAAATAAAAGTAGAGAACTCGGGCAAATCCGCTGGCGGAATGGCTAGCCACTCGCATCTCCGCCCGAAGGTCTCAGCTTGTTCTGTTTCTTCTTCCTTCGTCCGAGTGACGTATTTACGTAGGGCCTGTTGACAGCATAGCTGCGATATTTGGTTTGCCCAGGGGTTCACAATGCTGTTAAAAGTATTTGGGGGGGGGGGGGGTGTGGCACCAACAGATACATAGTTGAGGACAAAAAAGGATAAGATACAAAGGAGAATGAACCGGACGTAGAATGACCTAGGACGGAAACACCAGGAATACACTGATACAAGGATTACATGGGGACAAAGAGAGGCAGGAGCGATCTGTAAATCAGAATAAGGATACAAAGCCAGAGAGCTAGCGCACATACAACAGTCTTAGCTACTAAATCGACGCAAATAAACCAAACCACAAATATAACAGGATACTGTTGGCAGCTTCGCTGCAGGTGCGCCATTATCAGGATGAACGTGGTTAAGTTTTATTTCCCTGTTTTTTTTTTTTTTTTTTAATCTAGAACAGATAAATAGATAGATGGGAGCACCAACATGTTTAAAGTGCTTAGGGCATCAGAGGGTCTGGGCCCGGCTCTGCCTCCATATCTTCCTCTTTCTTATTCAGGGCTAGCTTAACTGTCCCTGAAATGCGACTACAAACAGATGCTGTGCAGAACAGACAACAAGGGAGATAATAGTTGAAAGAACGAACCTGTTTATCTGCCAGATGTTGAAGCCCCCTGGCTGTATCCAGCGATAACTTAATGAGGACTTGCGGTCTGAGCGAACCATGTAATGTAAGCGAGGGTGTGGTATCGTAACCTTGCAAAGACGTCAGGCGTCGACACTGGCGCAGGAAAGTCCTTAAATCGCCATGCTTAGCGTATTCCATGGCAACGTACATAACACCTGAACGTGAGAGCAAAACATTTTTAGTTACGTTTTCTGTAACATATGTGTGTGAAGAAATTGCTAATTGCTATAGCAACTTACTTTTGTTGTTGTTGTTTTTTTTTATTGGTGTTGTTGTTGTTCTTCTTCTTCTTCTTCTTAGGCAATCAAGTCCCAATGTGGGACGACATTATTCGTTATTTTCGTGGTAACGAGGTTGTACTGTATATAATCCTAACAGGTACTTCAGGGTAGTTCTTTGTATTGCTGTTGAGGTTGCGCGGAAGAAATGTGGTTTCTGAATGTGCGGTTTTCTGTATGTGCGGTTTTCTGTATGTGCGGTTCTCTGTATGCGAGGTTCTCTCTATGCGAGGTTCTCTCTATGCGCGGTTTCCTGTATGCGAGGTTCTCTGTATGCGAGGTTCTCTATATAGGAGGTTCTATGTATGTACAGTTTTTTGTATGCGAGGTTCACTGTATACGAGGTTCTCTGTATACGAGCTTCTCTGTATCAACATAAAACTAACGAATGGCAGGCAGACAGGTACACAGAAACATATACAGGTAATCAGGCCAGTAGGCAGTCAGACAGGCAGGCAGATAGACAGGCAAGACAGAGAGGCAAGCAGGCAGACAGAAAGACAGACAAACAGGCAAGCAGGCAAACTGATAGATAGAAAGATAGTCAGGCAGATAAGCAGACAGACAAACAGCTAGCCAGAAAGAGGGACATGCAGCCAGACATACATACAGGTAGACAGACGGACCTACAGACATACATAAATTTTAAAACACCCTCTGATGTGCTGTTTGCTCACGTGAATACGCAGACACTCACACACACACACACAGACACACATACAAATATACGCACACGTTCACATACACACACAGACACACAAATATACGCACACGTTCACACACACATACAAATATACGCACACGTTCACATACACACACAGACACACAAATATACGCACACGTTCACACACATACACACATCAACTCGCGAAAGCGCTCAAATATATACACATATCCACACCAACAGGTGTGTACCTCGAATGTGACAGGCTCCGACAAGACAGACCACATTCTCGTGTGTCCCGACCTGTTTTAGAATCGACAGTTCGTTGAGAAAATCCGTCTTGTCCTTGTCTGAAGCATCATCTACATAAGATTCAAAGCAACAATTATGGCAGTTTGGTAAATTTAAAAAAAAAGAAAACAACAATAACACTATACCTAAATATACTGTCCTGACAAGTAAGATATAGTTTATACTCATAATTCTCTCGCGACTCTGTAGCTCAGAGTTGAATAAATAAGTTAATCAATTTCATGATCTTCGAGTATCAGTGTAAACTGACGGGACTGGATGAGGGGGGGGGGGGGGGAGAAAAAACGTAATCATAGTTGTTGAAAGACAGTACAAGAGTTTCACCGTCGAAGAGATTATGGCCTTATCTTTTAATGTGCATAAAGACAGCAGGTGAAGCGGCCTATCCAACCATTATTGTGAAGACGACACACAATATATTTATTTATATTTGGAAGGTGTGGTAGAGGTCGACCAACACGAAGATGGGTACAGGATATAAATGTCTCCTTAAATAGTAAAGTGCACGAGGCGGGAGAGCTGGCGAGAGACCGAGTTTCTTTCACGCAGGCCGTGATGACAGCGACGCTCTCCAAAGGACCTGATACATGATGATAATGAGTCTTCTGTTACCGTTTTAATGGCTAAAAGGATTGGTTATAATGCCCATCTAGGCTAATTATCATAATCAGGATTTTTCCTAGGAAAAAAAAAACAGGTGCCGGTACTCATCACAAAGTGTCTACTACAGTAGTGCTAATAAAATGTTGCCTATAAACGGTTCTTTCGTAATACGTCACACCAGATGACGTCACGGGGACGGTCCAATATTTTATAGGCTGGTAAGACCGGGTTTCTAGACTTCGTAGTGCTTTTAACAAGCCCAAAGCGTATAGAACTGGACATAACCCCAACACACCTACGTTCCTATGGGCCGCGTTAGCGCAGTCAATACGAGACCAGTTTTCAAATCCAGCTGTGACTCGCTGCAGCCCACGGTCGTTGATCGAAACCGGGCGATTCATGGGGTTCTCCCAGCCTCTAGGAAATGGGTACCAGAGTTGACACTCTGGGGTAAATGGAGGAGCATCGCTGTAGCTACGGAGTTACGTGCGGACGGCGACACAGGCGGACCGTTTATTTAATCAGCTGTCCGTTCTGGTGGCAGAGCACTTATGGTTTACAACAGTGTGCACAGAGGCTGGTTCACATCTCTCGACTTTACCTTTACACCTACGTTCCACGGGAGAGCGCAGCCTAGGTCCCACGACTGCATGCAGCCTATCTACCACACCCCGAAATATTGGACTCTGTCTGAGGTGAATAAAAACGAAAGCACCCTAAACTACGCCGGATTTAGACTTTATGAGGCCCTAAGCGACCTAAAGCCCTGAGGCCCTTACTGTTTTATTATACACTAGATAGTCTCGGAAAACTGTACAATACATATGTCTATTAAATATATGGATGACAAAAATATACTGTTTCATTTTTAGTTTAAAAAAGCATTAAAGAAAGTACCTGCATAATCACATTAACATAACATAACATGACCCTTAACCTATTAAGGTCGATGAAAGCACTGGCAGACAAAGCTAGCCGTCTTTCTGTCTTCCGTTTCGTGAATAAGTGTTTGAGGTTTGAGGTTTGAGGTTTGAACAACGGATCAACAAGAACTAGGATTGCGCGGTAATGAACGGAAACGGACACTTAAACGGCTGGGCGAAGTTGCTGAGAGGGCCTCGAGCTGGCTTTGGACGCAACGGAACAACGTAGGGGACGGGCCTCGGTGAGCTGGTCCGGGTGTCTAGTGGAAAAGAGTTTCTCATCCCTTGAAATTCCATCGTCTCCGAATTGTCTGCCAGTGTTCCTCTGCCACCTGCTAACAAAAGTCTAACATGTGTCCGGTATACCAATCGTAAGCTTGTCGCTCGGTCGTCCAGGTACACAGACTGCTCTAATTATGCTACCGCGACGACTTCTTATCTCACAGTACCTTCTGCGAAATCACCAAGTCGTCTTGTCCCTATCCAAACACCATCCGGTAATTTCGTGCATCAGGGAAACCAACCCTGAGCTCCATGAACTCAGGTGGGCCCACTCTCTGAAAACGTCTAGGAGCTCGTGTGCCGAAACGTTTGTCGACGAGAGGTTACTTCTACTGACGATTGGTAGATCCCTGCTTTACATGCTCCCCTATGGAGTTTATTCCTACCCATGGCACACGGGTAGTAACCCATAAGATCTCCGTTGTTCTTTGAACTCAAGCCTGAGTCAGAAGAAGCTCAGCACAGTGCACAGGCGAGGATCCTGAAATACTTTGGCCAGATTTTTAACTAATTTGTGCCCGGGCAGCAACGTTTAGCTACTCTTTTCGATTTCCAAATGGCAAGGGATTATTTTGCGTGCGCAGCAATGCACACGGGCGGCCAATCTCACTGGCCAGAGACCAGGGGTAATTACTAGAAGTCCGAGTCCACGTGAAAAATATCCCAGCCCTTACCGGGGATGGAACCCGAAACCTCTAGCACTCGAAGCGGACACCATGACTCGAGACTACGCAGCACCCTGGAAAATAAGCGTATAATACCTTAGTCCTACCCATTTCCTGACGCTGTTATTCCAGATTCTTCTTTGCCCTCCTCTTCACGGCTTGATTCGCTTGCGATTGTTTAGAACTCTCCCAAAGCCCAACATTACTGATTGTATCATACCCTTTATTACCCTCTATTGAAAGTGTAAGGCTAAAGGTGGGAAGATCGACTTGACTGCACTGACTTTTTCTCCACATGGTTAGGTCTCTCTCGTAGAACAGCTAGCCGCCTGCTGAGTGTCACACAAAACACGAACTCCATAGCTCCGGTGACGTTCCTTGGGGATCTCCGTAAACATATCACTTATGAACAGAACGACGACGCCGCTGTGAAACGAACCCACGGTCTTCAAAATGCAATGCAAGCGGCCTTACCACTTTGCAACGGAGATTCCTAAAATGACCTCTGTTTTTCGCAGCCACCAGTTAATGAAAGCTCTTAGTTAACTAGTAATTGTTTTAGTTGTTCTCCATATTTCCGCTCTTTACAATAGTACCAATTTGACCAGGCCTTTTTTTTCCCTAGAAAAAGGGGCGGGGGGGGGGGCGGGCGCTGGTAATCATCACAAAAGGTCTTTTACACTAGGGCTAAAAAAAAATGATACTTAAAAGAAGGTGCTGGTAGTGTCTGCCGTTGCGTACTTCAAGAAATACCAAAGTCCTGGATTTGACTTAAGAGTTAAATATTTTCAGTTAAGTATTAGTTATACTTTCCTTGGATTTCCTGTGCTTTGCCGACTGGTACTTGGTGATAAAGTTTTCCCACATTTGGCCATTACCCCCCCCCCCCCCAACCACCCACCACCCACCACCCACCACACACACACAGCTTACACACAACACACACATTCAAAGCCATGATGACATCATGTTTAATCTTGTTCCATAAAACCGACCAGGTCATTAAGTGTGTATTGTTTCGTTAACTCGATACCTCTGGATGTTGTACTATTTCATTAATGTTTATTTTATTGCTTGGAAACGAAATGACCGCCAATATTGTCCGATGTTGACGGACATAGAAGCTCAAAACCTCTCTCTAAAACACAACACACTGATAGTTTAACCTAGCTTTTACGTACCTTTTAGAGATTTTATAGCCACTGGAATCTTGACCCCGTTGTTTTTGACGTAACCTTTCTTGACTTGACCAAATTGTCCGTTACCAAGCAATTCATTGGAAATAGAAAGTTGACCTCGCTGAATCTCCCATGGACTTCCGACAATTTGTTCGTAAGTGTTGGGGAGGTGATCCGAACTCTGGGAAACAACAGTTTTAGGTTTTCATATAGTAAAGGTCATTAAGTGTGTATTGTTTCGTTAACTCGATACCTCTGGATGTTGTACTATTTCATTAACTCTTTACTTCTAGATGTGCATGTGTTTTTTAATTGCCTCTTTTTGCTTAACTTGATTTTTATTACCTGATAGACGTTAAATGTGTTGAATCAGCCTCAAATGGCTACCAGGAAAACTCCTGGAAGTTAAAGGAGGCCCGCGTGATGTGGGACTTCATATTACCCAATGAGTGGGAAGTGTATGGTGAAATCTCTTGGACCAATAATTAGTTTGTCATCACATTCTCTAACAGTCAATATAAAATATTGTTTCGCCTGCGAGACGTTTGTTTTTATTAAACATTAGAAAGCGAGTATTGCAATCTTACATCGAGCCTGTTCGGTTGTATTTAGTAAATCTGAATCTTGTAATGTGAGCAAACAAATTAAGAAGAGTTTGGAGGCAGATGACTAAGATGGGGTTCTTGAGAAGAATGTTAGGAATACGTTGGACTACCAGAAAAACCAACACTGAATGCCTGGAAATGGTTAATGAATGCAGGACATTATATACAACAATAAGAAGAAGACAATGTTCTTCGGTCATGTGATCAGAAAAGGAGCACTAGAAAATATCGTGACGAATGGAAAGATCACTGGTAAAAGAGGCAGAGGCAGACCAAGTGAAATGATGGTGGATAGCTTAAGACAGTGGCATGAAGGAATATCATCAGTGGAATTCATCCAGAACACGAAATACCAAGATCTAGGGCGACGTATCAACGCCTAAGCCAGCTGGCAATACACTTGATGATGATGATGATGATGGGGAGGAGGAGGAGGATAATGAGACGTTTGTCATATTTAGTTATATATTGCTATGTCAACTAAATTACAATTTCACGGAAAGATATACAACCGAACGAAAAGTAGATCAGCGAGCTTCGCAATATAACAAACACAAGGGAAACGTGAACGTTGCGGATAAAGAGCTCCATCAGCACATACATAAATTAAACAAACCAACACGAATACACTTAATCCCTTAACTGGAGTATCACGCATCTAAATAAGAATACTTATATAACTACGCAAACAGCATTTGACATGTGCATTGGCTTCTCCAGTGGTTCTGTCAAGAATTAAACGATTCTAACAAAAACTTACCGAGGCATTGTATAGTCGTTTCAGTGCAGTTTTTCGTCGACGTATCACCATGAAGTATGTGAGAAGGGTCAAAACAAAGATGAAGGCAGCGACGAGACAAATTACTAGAATCGGGAATGTTGGAGATGTGTGAAAATTCGGCCCTGCCTTGAACATGCCTGAGGAAAATAATGTGTAAAATATAAAAATTATTTTTAAAGGTAAAAGACGATTCTTCTTCTTCTTCTTCTTCTTCTTCTTCTTCTTCTTCTTCTTCTTCTTCTTCTTCTTCTTCTTCTTCTTCTTCTTCTTCTTCTTCTTCTTCTTTCTTTCTTTCTTTCTTTCTTTTTCTTCTTGCTCACCGGCCGTAACTCTAGTAGCCAATGTCTGGTTGTTCGTCCACTTCTGGACTTGGATCTTGTGCAGACTGCTGTTTCTTCCCTCTCGGGCAATACCAATTCGAAGGGTCGTCCCTAATTGGTCCCCTTTTAAAACATACCTTTTAGGTAAGGCAGTGAGCCTTATTTCCCCACCCCCTCTCCCTGAATAGGTCTAGGAACATACACGGGGAACTTCAGGTTCAAACAATTACTGGTTAACACAACTAAACCAGAAAAAAAAATGAGTTAACCCAACACCTGTTTGAGACTGACTGCCTGACAGAATTACCTGTGTCACATTTGTCTCCCTCCCACCCAGTCTCGCAGCCACTGGGACATGCCCCAGAGATGATATCACAGGATTCTTCGCCCTGACAGTGGCCACACTTGAATTTGCAGTCATCGCCATAGTTTCCTAGTGAACAGTCTGTAAAACACGAGATTCTGATTGTAAACATAAAACAAAGACACGACAATGAGCATGATCTCCGTTTACTGACATCTGCTACTGCTCTGCCTCATCCCCTCCTCTTCCTTCTGCCTCTTCTACTGTACCTCCTCCTCCTCATCCTTCTTCTCCTTTTTCTTCTTCTTCTTCTTCTTCTTCTTCTTCTTCTTCTTCTTCTTCTTCTTCTTCTTCTTCTTCTTCTTCTTCTTCTTCTTCTTCTTCTTCTTATTCTTCTTCTTCTTCTTTTCTTCTTCTTCTTCTTTTCTTCTTCTTCTTCTTTTCTTCTTCTTCTTTTCTTCTTTTTGTTTTTCTTTTTCTTCTTCTTCTTCTTTTCTTCTTCTTCTTCTTTTCTTCTTCTTCTTTTCTTCTTTTTCTTTTCTTCTTCTTGTTTTTTCTTTTTCTTCCCCCCCCCCTTCTGCCTCTTCTTCTTATGCATCTCCGCCTTCTTTTTCTTCTTCTTCTTCTTCTTATTCTTCTTCTTCTTCTTCTTCTTCTTCTTCTTCTACTTTTTCTTCTTCTCCTTTTCCTTCTCCTCCTTCTCCTCCTGCTGCTTCTTCTTCACCTCCTCCTCTTTCTTTTTCTTCGCCACATCCTCCTCCTCCTTTATTACGACTACTACTACAACCACCGCCACCACCACTTTGTCTTCTTTTTATCCACCAAAGGAATAACGGCTCTTAAACTGTATATGTGCTATATCTTTGACATCACCTTCACTTGTAGAATAAAAACTACTAGTCACTCCAACTGGATACCGATACACAAGGGACGCACTGTCAGCCTATACAAAGAATCCTGGTATAAACAGTAAGAAGAGAGATTCCCTGCAGCTCCATATCAAATAAAGTTGTTTCGTTTATTCGTTCCTGGGTGTTCGAGTGTAGATCCTTTATATATTCATCATTTCATCATTGGAACCTTTCCGTCTTTCCAGACGATAGTGTTATATTGCGCTACGAGGAGGCATGAGACTCGCAGCCCATGGCGATGGCGAATGTGACTAGCAAGACCCGCCCGTGTCAAGAAAAGTCTTCCACAATGATAGCATGGGATTTCAGGACCATTGTTAACAACATTTGTGTTTAATCCGTTTCTTTTCAGACGAGCAGCTCTCATCCTTTCTGCAATCATTTCTTCCTTCAGTCTCATTCCCTTCCTGATATGCCCTTTCCACACAACACGGTCCATGGCATCTTGTTCCCATGAGTCCGCCTCAATACCTGTATCATTCATGTCTCGCTTGCATACATCTTTATAACGTAGTAGAGGTCGGTCTTGACATCTTCTTCCTGTCTTCTTTATATATATATATATATATTCTTCTTTGATATAACCATTGTTTCTGTTTTCTTGACATTCAAGGAAAGTCCCTTTTTTGCACTCTCTAGTACCACAATGTCTAACAAATGTCGTAGCTCTACTGCGTTTTGAGCTACTAATGCTGTTCATCTGCATAACGAAAATTGTTTACATTATAACCTCCACCTAGTATTCCTGGTCTATCCTTGATCTCCCTCATTATTATTTCACTACAGAGAGAGAAGAGAACCGAGGACAAAACACATCCTTGTCTCACTCCTGTTTATAACTGCATACTTTATTTCCCAGTTTAATTGCTGCTTCTTGCTTCCAGTAAATATTGTTTATTATTCTGAGATCTTTTCCATCAGTTTTTATATCATCTAACAATGTTATCATGTCATCATGTTTCACTTTATCAAAAGCTTTGGTGTAATCTCTGACGCACAAATATGTCTTCTGCTTCTCCCTTGATCTCTCTAATAATGTTCACAATGTGTATATTTGATTATTTGATCCTTTTCCCTCTACAAAACCATACTGCTGTTTACTAATTTCCATTTTCTTTCTTGTTCTTCTCATTATAATTCTAAGTAACAGTTCAGTAAATCTCCACTGTTGTAAATATCATTTCACATGTACTACTGTGAATATCGATATGATACTGTCATCTTCTCCTTTCCTTTGTCCTACTCTTTATGTCATAAAGCAGTGTTTCCCAAAATTTTCTCATTCACGGCGCCTTTTTTAATTAAATTTTTTTTCCACGGCGCCCAAACCTAAGTAAAAGTATGACTATTCCTATGTGAGAGATAAAAAAAAAAATAAAAAAAACTCCCGTATCTTCGAATATTTCGCGGCGCCCCTGTAAAGAGGCCGGGGCTCCCCAGGGCGCCACGTAGCAGTTAGGGAATCACTGTCATAAAGCATCGCTTAGAGGAGTTACATGTATTTCTTGTCTTTTGCTAGTTGCATAGCTGGTGTTAATGTCATACAGCGTTTCTGGAGTTTCACATATCTCTTTCTTGTTCGACTTCTTGCTGTGCAGCCTGCTGTTCGCATGAGGCACACCCTAGCTGCTGGCTGACGTTTGTTCTGTTCTAACCAGATGACTAAACTATTTGATTATTAGATGTTTTATAAAATCATCTACCAGTACTGTACCTGCCATTGTTGTCAGTTCTTCGTCTGTTACTTTTCTTTTTTTTTTCCAGCCACATTTCTGATGAATGTTATCTCTTATGTTGTAATGTTGCTTTTGTCTTTTTATGACTGTCCCTGTCTGGCGATACTGTCGTCAAGGTCAACTTTATCATGATGTGCTACTGTGCGTCATTTATCGCTCGTGTTTATTCTTCCATCCTGTTCTACCGTGTACTTTATTATTAAAGATGGAATCCAGTCTAGCAGCTTTGTGCTCCCCCATCCACGTTCACCTTAGGGTTTCGCCTTGTTTCCTCGTAGGTAGATAGGTGCTTTGTTACCCCAAAAAATCGTCACGTTAAACCGGCATCCCTGAAAGGGAGCTTTAGGTTATAGTTGTGTGACTAGGTTATAGTTGTGTGACTAGGTTATAGTTGTGTGACTAGGTTATAGTTGTGTGACTAGGTTATAGTTGTGTGACTAGGTTATAGTTGTGTGACTAGGTTATAGTTGTGTGACTAGGTTATAGTTGTGTGACTAGGTTATGTATGCCATATAAAATGGCTTAGTACTTCACTGCACCAAGAGCCCTGAAAAGGATTCCTTCAGCGTTGATGCGATCAGAGGAGATAGGTCCAAAATAGAGACCCAACCGGCGACGAAATCGTCTATCGGCAATCCAGTGGGCGACCTGGTCGCCGAAATGGTACCTTGTTTCTTCAATCCATTTGTCTTCCTTATTCTCTGTTCGCTTCTCCCGGGGTGTGCACAACATGTCGCCATCTTTTGTCGTTTAACTATTGATACCATTAGTTGTCCTGACTTTTCTCTTTTTTCTTTGCCTTTCTGGAATTCATCCCTTTTAATGTCAATCAATGTCTGTATGCACTGTATGATGTTGTAAATATGTATTATGGTGCTACTTACTGTGTACACAGAATATGCCCTGCCAGCCCGGGGCACATCGATCCAGACAAATCCCATTCACAGGATCGCAACCTGAAGCCGTTTGACAGTGACCGCACTCGCTGGAACAGTTCACTCCGTACCATCCACTGGGGCATTCTACATTGTAATTAGTTCAACACAATGCGTTATGTTTACAGTTAGGTGTAAGCTTAGTTATTTGTATAGAAAGCTTAACTTGTGTCAGCACAGAATAGAAGGAAGTAAATGATATGACAGAATAAAAAATGTGGAGCT